GTCCAGGTCACGGCACTCGCATACGTCAGGAAACAAGTTCATTTAATGCCATGTAAATTAACTATAAATTCTCATGTATATTTGCACATTTCAGAATATCAATAGTTCATATCCAGCAATACTTTACGCTGAACTTTGTCATCACTAATTAGCTGGGGGAAATCATGAACGATACGCTGCTTGTTTGTTTGTTTATTTTCGTCTTAGACCCTAGCTTACAAGTTTACCCTTCTTGCACCAGTCACTAAGGTATAAAATAAATCATTGGTGATTTCCCTGTAAAATACATAATGATGGCCGTGACCTTACGTGTAGCAGCGGGGTCCGAACAGGAAGGAGGCGAGACCAGATCTCCCGGTAATGGTACTACCCCAAAAGTACCAGGGGGTATCAGCGCCCTCTACCGGGGTATTGTGTACTCTCGTGGAGACTCGTGAGTGGCTGCAGTCACGGCTATGACGTCACTAATGACGCATGACAAGCCACTGACCACTAGCAGACGCCATACAATTTTTCGACTTAAACTGAGCAGCACGTACGTGGCTAAGCCCACGTACGTTGCACATGCTTACGGGCGGTACCCGCATTCCACCACGAAGAAATACATATGATAAAAATAGGGTATATACAAGGAAAATAAAACAATGCTGACAGTAGTTCTCGGTGCCCATTTTCCAATGGGTTCATTGAATCCGACTCGTGCCATGGACTTGTCATACCAAAAGGGGGGGGGGTACCGTGGTAGGACAAAGTGGGCGGATAGTCCCACTACAACCCTCCCGGGCCCTGGGTCGTATGGTCCGATAGTTCAGCGGACCTACGACCTCCCCATACACATCAGGCCTTCTCATCTCACACCAGAGCCGAGGGGTCGCCTTCTCTTCTCGCGCTAAGGCTAAGGGGTTGCCTGGGGCTCATAATCGGTATAAATATATACATGAACATCATAACTGGAAAGAGAACATAAGGTCAGCATGGCATATATGTAGGTTACAAGGAGTCACCGAATGATACATTTTAACTTTTGACTGGGCAAGGTGGTCCACAAGTATTACAAACTTAATCTAAAACTTGACAAAACAGAAAAAAATGTAAAACAAATTAAAACCAATACAATATCAAAAACTTTAAAAAATTAAGAGAAAAAATAATGCAGAATTCAAGACATTGAAATTAAGAGAACACGAATAAAACAAGATTCAAAACATTAAAATTAAGAGAACATAAAACTGAATAAGATTGAAATTAAGAGAGCACAAGTAAAACATAAAACATGAAAATTAAGAGAACAAATGAAACGATTTCAAAACATTAAAATTAAGAACACGAATAAAACAAGGATTCAAAACATTAAAATTAAGAGAACATAAAACTGAATAAGACATTGAAATTAAGAGAGCACAAGTAAAACATAAAACATGAAAATTAGGAGAACAAAAATTAAAAGAATAAGACACCTACCGACTCGACAATGAGCGACTGAGCAAGCACACCACAGTACACCTTCAGTCACGCCATCTCATTCATTCCTCCCAAACCTCGTAGTCACTGTAATCATTGTTCGTTTCTGTGCTCATATCTGCACCAGAGTAAAGGAAATGATAAACACTAGGAGACCTGTTCAGGGGTCCCGAATTACTAAATTCCGTCCGGTCATACCCGAAGTCATCAAGCACATGTACAGGTGCTGCTACGTCTGGGGGACGGCCTGGCAACGGACCGTCAACACCTGGGGATCAGAAGGCAGTCTGTCTCCAACCTCAACATAGTCTAGTTCAGCAGGAGGGAGATACATTTTCAACTGATCTCTGTGCTGCTTCACTATACGATAAGGGGGCTGAAGGTCTTTAACCTCGAATACAACGGGACCTTTGCTTGATCACTCTACAGGGACCTTGCCATCGGTCCTGTAACGCCCCTCCGGTAAAGTCCCTACGGAGGACGAGCGCACCTTCCTCCGGCTGCCAGGTAGAGCGAACTTTCCGATTGTGCGCCTGTGCATTGGCCTCTCTGGAACGGAGAGAAGCAGCAATGGCAAGCTGCCTGGCCTTAGCCAGCTGTTGCACCCTGAGATTAGTGTCCGTCGTTACTTGGTTGGTGAGTCCCCTGGGAAACAAGGCCATCTTCCCAGTAAGGAGGTAAAGAGGCTGGTCCCCCACCGAGCGATGTATGGCTGAATTTATGGCTAACCTTACGGAGGTCAGATATAGCGGCCACCTCCCTGGTTTATCAGCCACAAGCATAGCAAGGGCATCCTTCACAACCCTGTTTGTCCGTTCAACTAAACCATTTGAACTAGGATGATATGCTATGGTGAACGAACATCGTATCTCCAGCTGTCTACACACTTCCTGCCACTGTTCATTAGCAAACTCGCCCCCATTGTCTGTCATTATCTGTCGGGGTGGTCCAAAAAGGGTTATAAAGTGATCATAAAATCCCGAAGAACCGTTTCTGCTGTCTTATTCCTGAGTGGAACGAGCTGCAAGTACCTGGAGTG